ATCTGCGATTGTGCCGGTAAGCTAAAAGACACGCTGTTTAACCTTCCGCTCCTTATATGCCTGTTGCTTCCGCATTTCTACAGTACGTGGGTCATCCTCATCCCCATCCTCTGCCGGTTGCGTTCATTCTGTTAAGGAGTTGCTATACTATACCAATTGATTATCCACACATACGCACACATCCTAGGTTACGTTCTGTATTTTGGTCCTTTGTTACGGTTCTTAAAGGCTTTAACAACGACGTTTTTTTCGAATGGATTTAGGATTCTGGCCGTAATCCCCGTCTTTGACTGATATAATCATGTTTTTATCCCAGATCACTGTCGTGCTCGAGACACGCAAAACTGCCTGCCACATTGAGGTTGCTTTCAGGACGTGTCTTCAAGTGAATCACGATACTGAACACCCTAAAGATAGCGTCTTAATACTCCTCGTGGCACCGTAAAGCGACAGCCATTAGGAGAGGAACGCGCTAACGCCACGACACCATTAGAAACACTGCCGACGACGACGCGGCTCGTTCCGGCAAGTGCGCACAAGACGCGGACAGTTACCATTCCGGGCGCCGATGATACCGTGTGGTAAGCACGTCGGGCGCCCTGGTGAGAATACAGGATCTCGGCCGCATCCCGCGGGGCGAGCAGGAGTGTGTGATGCTGCTGCGGCTGTTTGAGAAAGCTGTGACATATGGGGCTTTGGGCAAGAGATAGATAGATTTTAGATCGTATCACCAAATCTACTGTTCATCTTCACTTCCCAGTAAGATACGAATTGATATCATGAACAGAAAACAAAAGACAGAGCATGATGTGAGTAAATTTTACATGATAGTATAAGGGTGCTATATAGTACCCCATCACAAACTGTCAACATTGAGATAAAAACAGCGATGACATGAATGTCAACTGATGACGTGACAGAAATAAAACGTGATGATCTCATCCTGTGGCTGATGCAATGAGTGTCATGTTCTGCAAAGGATCTTCTTCGGCCTTGCTTAGTTTGCATGTCTCTTTAGCTGACCAATCAGGCGATACAGTGGGGGGGGGAGCTCTATGGGAGGGGTAACGGCGCGACCTCCGTGCCTTCACTGAGATCAGTCTGACATCTCTCTCCTCTCCCCTCTCTGCGTATACTTCATACAACTATCTACCTATATATCTATATAAATGTAAGAGGATCTATCTATCTCTCTATATATACAATATATATATGCACACACACACACACACACACACACACACACACACACACACACACACACACACACACACACACACACACACACACACACACACACACAGAGCGAGAGAGAGAGAGAGAGAGAGAGAGAAATGGATATCAACCTACATACCTACATTCATACATATAGATATACATACATATAGATATACATACATATTTTACATACATATATACATTCATGCATAATGCATCTATACATACATGCAAACACACATATATACATATACATATACATACATACATACATATATATATATATATATATATATATATATATATATATATATATATATATATATATATATATATATATGTATATGTATATATGTATATGTATATATATATATATATATATATATATATATATATATGTATATGTATATATGTATATGTATATATATATATATATATATATATATATATATATATATATATATATATTTATATATATATATATATATATATATATATATATATATATATATATATGTATATATTTGTGTGTGTGTGTGTGTGTGTGTGTGTGTGTGTGTGTGTGTGTGTGTGTGTGTGTGTGTGTGTGTGTGTGTGTGTGTGTGTGTGTGTGTGTGTGTGCATTCAAATATGTTTGTGTGTGCGTGTGTGTATACCAACCGTTCATTTGACTGATCAATGTATGCGCAAACAAACACACACCCCTTTCTAACCCAAGGTCATGCATACATTAACTGGGAATGACTTAATTTTGCGACTAGCAATATGCACTCAACAACTAAAGTTTAGTCTCTATATTGCAAATGCATAAAGGTGCATCAGACACTGAATACTCAGTTTAAAAATACACCCCTTTAACTTTCGAAATATTGAAAAATGTTCTCTCTTGCATGCAAATGTATCCACATTGCGCAAATATGTCACACACCAGCACATAATGTGGAACACTGTAAACCATAAAATACTTTGAATATTTCGCGTTTCACAGTTATTCCTCATATAATTCCATTGATCAGTACACGCTTCCGTAATTAAAACATTTATTTGCTCACGTATACCGATATAAAAAAAGACTGACGCATCGACGATAAAAAAAACTGATCGTAAATAATTGAAAAAAAAAACAAGAAAGAATCATTACTGAGTCTTCGTCACTGTAAAAGATCACTGTCACAATCACATCGATATCAGCATCACTATCACTCAGCCTTACACCATCACATCGCGGACCACAGCGCACAACAGCCCTCACTGGCAACTGGTCTGTACAGGGGCCGGTCTTAGCTACTTGTGACCCCTCTCACCCCCTCCCCCCCCTCTTACAACCCCTCCTCTCCCCCTTTCACCCCTTACACCTCCTCCTGACCACCCCAGGATCAGACATGAGTTGTGTGGGGTGGGAGAGGGAGGGTGAGAGTGTGGGGAGGGGGGAGGGGGTGAGAGTGTGGGGAGGGGGAGGGGGAGGGGGTGAGAGTGTGGGGAGGGGGAGGGGGAGGGGGTGAGAGTGTGGGGTTAGGCTACTTACGATCCCTCCCCCCCTCTCTTTCTCCCTCTTCATCTTTCTTTTTTTCCTACATTACAAAATATATGTAAGTATAAACGTGTTGAAGCAAGAACGTTACTGTTAAGGTCATAGGGAGGAGAAAGAAATAGTAAGATAAATGGAGAGAGAGAGAGAGAGAGAGAGAGAGAGAGAGAGAGAGAGAGAGAGAGAGAGAGAGAGAGAGAGAGAGAGAGAGAGAGAGAGTCAGAAAGACGGGTATAGTTTAGAAGTCTTATTGGCCCTCCTCCTCTCCCCTTTCCCTTCCCCTTATCTCCTTCGTCCCCTTCCTTTCCACTTACCTCTCCCTCTTCCTTCCCCTCCGTCTTCTCCCTTCTCCCTATCAACTCTATTACATCCCCCTCGCTCCTCTTTTCCCCTCCCATCCCCTCACTCACTTCCTCTCCCCTATCCCTCTCCCTCCCTTTCATTCTCCCCTCTTCCACCCCCACTCACATTCCCCTCTCCTCCCCACCCCTACCCCTCTTCCTCCCTTTCATTCCCTCCCCTCTTCCACCCCCACTCACATTCGCCTCTCCTCCCCACCCCCCTCCTTTCCCCTCTCCCACCCCCACCCTCTTTTCTTGTCAGATTCGGCCACGTGGAGGTAGTTTAAGTTACTCGAACTGCCTCCCCTCAACTACCTCCTCCTCCTCCACCACCACCTCTGCCTCCCCTTCCTCCTCCTCCTCCTCCTCCTCCTCCTACAAGGTTTCCCATGGCTCTACAGGTCTTCTTACGCTCTGAGTGACGAGGACCAATGCGTACTACTGCTCTGATTCTTGTAGGAATAGTAGCAATAAGTATAATGGAACGTATTCGTCGTAGGCCTATAATCATTAACGCTGTTTATCTCTGGCGGTTATTACGGTTATCAGTCGAGTCAAGGTTAGAGTGTTAACTGAGGATGAGGATTGTAAGGATGATGATGATTAATAATGATGTTAATTATGGCAATTGACTATAAAGATAATACCACTTAAAACAATTATATCAACATCAACTGCTATAACAAGATTCGCAATCATCACGACGATAATGATAATGCTCACAATTAATAAGATTATAATCAGTTATAATTTTATCGTATTTTCGATAGAATCTTGTTTTCAAATATTTATCTTTCAATTGTAGGTATATTTTTAATATAAATTTTACAGATAAATAGATAGATAGAGAGATAGACAGATAGATAGATAGATAGATAGAGAGAGAGAGAGAGAGAGAGAGAGAGAGAAAGAAAGAGAGAGAGAGAGGTGGTGTCATTAATAGGAAGTCCGGGTGTCTCTATTCACCAGCCCAAAAACCCTTACCACCCCCTACATCAAGCTCCCCTCTTCCCCCCCTCCTCGTCACTCCACCCTACCCCCTCGTGCCAGCTGCCATCTCTACACTGCACATGTCTCTTCCCGCGTCTTGACATATGAATCATTTTCAAGATGCGGGTATCATTGCAGAGCCACTGTTTTACTTCCATAAATTCAAATAACACCATCTTAACCCGCGAATAAATTGGTCTCCATCAACAAAAGGACATGACAGGACTGAAATAGCTTCTGGAGACAGAAGAAGGAGGGAGGGAGGGAAGGAGAGAAAAAGAAAGAGAAAGAGGAAGAGAAAGAGAGAGAGAGAGAGAGAGTGAGAGAGAGAGAGAGAGAGAGAGAGAGAGAGAGAGAGAGAGAGAGAGAGAGAGAGAGAGAGAGAGAGAGAGAGAGAGAGAGGGAGAGGGAGAGAGAGAAAATAAGACAGAGGCAAAGCACTCCAAAAACTAAAAAAAAACAGGAACTCCATCCTGAAAATAAGACTATAACCCATGCATAATTCACACTCGACGAAACAAAAGCGTAATCAGCTGCGCACGAGAGGGTGGAGTACCTATCATATCAACAAACGAGTACTCAAGTGCTTCCATTGTTTGTAGCAGAAGTAAACTCGCGACTCTACAATGCAGAGAGTCCTCAAGAGTTTCGGCTCTCGCTGAGCACAAAACAAACACCCATGCGTCTGACCGACCGGACTTTATGACTAACTGGCAACTCTCGATATTGGGTAACTGGCAACTCAATCGTCCGTAATCAGAGAATGTTAGTGTCCGGTTACCGGACCCATACCGCACTGTCTTCGGTTACCGTACGGTTACTAGGACATAGCCGGCTAAGTGGAATGTTTAAACGAATCGACTGCGGTGCTAAAGGCTAGGCCCCTTTATGACCGGAAAAATGCGTGCCACTCTTTATTATTAGTTGTAAGTGACTGTCAACATTAGCTTGAGTTGGGACAGTGACGCTGTGACATCATGTGGAGTCAGGGAAAGCGAGGGGCGGCTGTAGTGTCAAATATAAGTATAAATAGTTCGTTGGTCATTTGCACAAAGCCTGGTTGGGAATGACTAAATGACCAGTGCTTCTTTCTCTATATTATTTATTCTGGTCATACCCTTTGCTTGTTTTTCGAGCTAAGGACTTGTGCTTAGACTATAAAAAGCATAGTGTAATGTGATATTTTCAAGTAATAAACAGTATGGCGTAAGTGACAATGATGTATATAAAGCATTCATGTTTATGTATTGCATCATATGGTAATTTTTTTTTCATCATCTTTGTCATCTTCCTCTTCATCACCATCACCACCACACCCACCACCACCACCACCCCCACCATCATCATCATCATCATCATCATCATCATCATCATCATCATCATCATCATCATCATCATCATCACCACCACCACCACCATCATCACCACCACTATCATCATCACCACCACCATCATCATCATCATCATCATCATCATCATCATCATCATCATCATCATCATCATCATCATCATCATCATCATCACCACCACCACCATCACCACCACTATCATCATCACAATCACCACCACCGTTATCATCATCATCACCGGATTATACACACACTTCTCTTGGGGGGGGGGGGGTATTCTTCAGCTGATCTCTACCTGTGTCCACTATCCACCCGCCAGCAACAGGGCGCCCGGAAATAGTGGACAAAAGGGGCGCTGCCATTTTCAGTCTTATGGTGCAGGCATGTTGCAAGCGGAGGCAGCAATTGAGTGCAGAGCTCGAGGCAATGTCTCTCGAATTTATACTCAGGACAGCGATTATTACATAGTCGTTGACTGGTGTCCACGCTCGGGCTCAGTTTAATAAAATATGTATTTTGTATAGATTTTGGGCCACAGAATCTTAATGGGACATGTAATATTCAGATAATGGTGAGGGAAGACCGCGGGCGTGACTCCATTCAGTAATTTCATTCACGTCTCCAGTAATCCATATGTATTGAATTTCCAGGAATGCATTTGAAGATTTATTTACATATAGTACCCCGCCAATACTATATGTAATGATCATGAGAATCTATTGCACGTAATGATATTACGTCTACGGTGCCCTACGATATACAGCTAATACTTATAAATATGTTTTCGAAATAAAATTCCTGGGTTTGGCATTCTTCACATGGGGGGGGAGTCTGGGGGAGGAGAGACTGTTCACTTGAGTGCTCTTGGCGAGAGATTCTTTTTATCATCATTATCGTTGTTGTTGTTACTTTCTGTTTAAACAATTACAATTTATTTCTATGCAATTAAAAGCTGCGCACCTATGGTAAAAAAAAATAAAAATAACAAAAACATGTAGTTCGTACGATGCTAAAATGCTTAGTCATCAATCACTGTCAGTGCGGGGAAAATTGACATTTTAATCAACAATCCATCTAGAATTAAATGAATAACTAAAGTACGCCTCTAGGTCAGTCTTTGCATAACAAACGAATGATCTATGCAACAGAAAACAACATATTTTTTTCATTGTCACGAGGAAATAACACGTATTGCAAACTCACAATAGTCTTATCAACGAAATGAAAAAAAAAGATAGATGAACACTAATTTTCGAGCCAATCAGCGCTCTTCATGACAGCCATTGCTAACCCTAATGGGAGGCGCTGCAGATTGATCGACCTATCATCGTGACCGTAACAACCACCTCAACCAATGAGGCGTCACGGCACACAGGTCGACTCTCTCTCTCTCTCTCTCTCTCTCTCTCTCTCTCTCTCTCTCTCTCTCTCTCTCTCTCTCTCTCTCTCTCTCTCTCTCCTCTCTCTCTTTCTCTCTTTCTCTCTGTCCATCCATCTGTCTTTCTGTCTGTTTGTCTTTTCTTTATCTCTCTATCTGTTATCTCTGTCTGTCTGTCTGACTGTTTGACTGTCTGTCTGTCTCTCTCTCCCTCTCCCTCTCCCCCTCCCTCTCCCTCTCCCCCCTCCCCCTCCCCCTCCCCCTCCCCCTCCCCCTCCCTCTCCCTCTCCCCCCCTCTCTTTCTCCAATCCTTCATCATTATGGCTTAACTGATCCCCTGTTTTTTTTATTTTCCAATCTTGTTTTCCGAGTGGTTTATGTTGCTTGTTTGGAGCGAGGTGTGCATGATCACGTTGCTGCGAGGACGAAAAATTGGGGAGCGCCGTATATGAGAAAATTTTCTGAAAAAGGGGGAAAAATAAAACAAAAACAAAAATACGTTCTGCTTCAAGGGCACACGATGCAAAAGGATCGAGAAACGCAGCTGGGAAGAGGAAAGGAGAGAAGAAAGGAGAGAGGAAGGGAGGGACGGAGAGTGTGAGAGAGGACAACGGTATGAGGAAAAGGGGTTGGGAGAGGAGCAGTGAGAAAGGAATACTGTTACAGGTTGATTTGGGGAGACGGAGAGAGGAAGAG